TTTAAAACACTTAAAAATGCACTGTGTAAGTATTTGCAATATAAAAAGTAAGTAAACTTAACATATATTTTTCTGTAAATTACACTAAAAGTTGGCAGCACGGTGGTGCAGTGGTTAGCATTGTCGCCCTCTCAGCAAGAGGGTTGTGGTTCGAATCCAGGGTGGGAGAGCCCCACTGTGTGGAGTTTGAATGTTCACCCCATGTCACTGTGGATTTCTCCTGGTACTCCAGCTTCCTCCCACAGTCCAAAGACATGCAGGTTAATTGGTGACTCTAAATTGGCCATAGATGTGAATGCGAGTGTGAATGGTTGTCTGCCCTGTGATAGTCTGGTGACCTGTCCAGAGTGTACCCTGCCTCTCACCCAATGTCATCTGGTATAGGCTCCAGCCCCCCGCGACCCCTAACAGGATTAGCGGTTATAGAAAATGAATGAATGAACACTAAAAGTCAGAAGTCAGTAGGACTTAAAACAAGGGAGGTGGTAGTAGCTCAGTCTGCAGGGACTTGGCTTGTTAACTGTAAATCCCTGTACAGACCAAGTATGGAGTGTGGGCTGGCAGCTGAAGAGGTGCCAGTTTGCCCCCTATGCACTGCCCAGGTGCCCTCAAGCACGGCACTGAACCCCCAAACTGCTACAAAGGTGCTGTATTATGGCTGATCCTTCTGCTGTGTGCTGAGAGGGATATGCAAAAGTCTCACTTCAGCTTCACTCATTAAATCCCTTCATCCACTCTCACCTTCAACATTTCACCCTGATGCAACTCACCTACCACTAAACCCAAAACATAACTAATTAGGCCACTACTCTATCTGAACTGTATAACCGCTCAGTGATCAGGAAAGACACCCTGATCACTGAGGACCCCCCCGCCCCCCCATCACACCTCTCAGTTACTGCAATCAGGCAGACACTACAAAGTCCCACTGGCCCTGAAAAACATCTACAAGAAATCCTTAATTTCCTCTGCAATAACCATCCTGAACAATCTTAAAAAGAGGCTGCACTTTAACCTGCTTTTATCAGTTGTTGTTCTAACAGTCCTTTTTTAATTTGCTTTAAATGTCTTTGAATATGAATCATTGTTGAGCTGTATCTATCTATCTATATATCTATCTATAGACCTCGATTTAGATCTACCTACCTACCTAATCACTCACCCACCCATCTACCTGCCTACCTATGTATTCATAGACCTCGACTTAGATCTACCTACCTACCTACCTACCACCCCACCCATCTACCTACCTATCTACCTACCTACCTACCTACCACCCCACCCATCTACCTACCTACCTACCTATCTATCCATAGACCTCGACCTAGATCTACCTACCTACCTACCTATCTATAGACCTCGACCTAGATCTATCTATCTATCCATCCATCCATCCATCCATCCATCCAACTACCTAACTACCTACCTACCTACCTACCTACCTATCGATCTATGGATCTATCCATCTATCCTCCCACCTATCTATCTAAACTGCCATATGCCTTGTGTGGATTGACAAATATAGAAATCATTTTAAACTAAAAACATTGAGCCTTACCATATTGTATTTAAATCACATTTTAAATACCATATATCACATTTTGCATGTGTATTTTAAACATCTTTGAAAGTGTAGCAGAGAATATTAAGAGTGTGTCTGTTCAGCAAAGCTTATAATACAATCTTCACTTAGAGTATACCATTTTAATAACTAACATAAAATTAAAGTGTGATTACAAGTATGCCATGAATTCGATTTTGATATTAGGAGCCATCACATTTCGAGTGTGCTCAAAGTGCAATTTTAGCACCATTGCATTACTTGTTGCGCAATACACATCCAGTATACTCTATACTTTATATCAATAGGGTTCTTAAGCATCACATCATAGATAGATAGAGGAAAGGCACTTTGGCAAATTGGGTATTAAATAATATAATAGCTAATGCAGCGGTAATGGGATATTAATCTGCTGGTTTCTGGATATGGTTTTCTTTTTAAAAACATTTGTAGCTGCCACTCCCTACACGCAGATGGTTGATAAGGATGTGTGTTGGCTTTGTTTCATCTTCGCAGGGTGGATGTTGAATTTAAACTGATGTTGTTGTTAGCAGCGGTGAGGGGATGGGCGAGGTATATTAATATATTTGGCCTGCAGTAATTTTAAGTGTGAAGTAACTCTGTTTGCATTCTGTAATTGTCAGTATGTGTTATCACATCATCACAGGTCTGGTAACTTATATAGTCATATATCACACAGTCACCTACATGCCAACGTCCTTAACTTCAGATGTGAGATTTAAAAACCTGTACAGATACACAACACACCCCCACAACACACTCTTACCTGCAGGAATAAACTGCTCATTCTTGCTCAAGGCCAGCTCCTCTTGGCAGACATGCACCCTTCAAAGAAAGAGCAATTATAACAAATTTAAAAACCCGTTGGACTAAATGAAAGAAAGAACAGTTAATGGTGGGAACAAAAGATAAAATGTCAACATGACACACAAAGTTAAAAAAAAAGAAGGTAATTATATATTGATTGTCGAGCCTTCACTGAGGTGGGTTTAACCTGCTTTCCAACACACTTGTGGCTGCACTACAAACCCTTTTTTTATCTAGACACACGACACAGATGCATCTTCAGTTGAAAAATAAGGTTTATTGAGTCCTGTGTGAAGCTTGGATATCCTGTCCCTGCTCTAGCAGACATTTAGGCAATCTCCAGAGGGAAATAATAAGCACTACTGGAAGAACTGAGTGCGAAATACTATATAAACAGCCCAAAAGCTTCAAATTAATAAATACATAAAATATTCTCATTAAATAAATCCAGAAAAAATGTTGTATATAACTATGAAACTGTGAAATAATCCAATAAAAGCAAAATGTTATTTCTTCCTGCTTCTTTTCAAAATAAAAGTTTATTGCAATTGAATTTTATTTCATTTTAGCTTTTTTCCAAAGTCTTTTTTTATTTCAGAACAGCATTTTTCTCCTAATTAGCATTTCAAGAAATACTGTTACTGTGACTACCTGTCATGCAAGATAAACAATGCAGAGCCAATTATTTAATTAACCGTTATTTCTGGTTAGCTGACAGCTAATTATATAACTGGCTCTGCCCTGTTTGTGCTGAAAACTGAAATGAAGTAAGAGTGGTGGCGCCGGTCAGGTAACGTAACTAAGGTGTAACTCCAGATACACAGAGTATAAAGTGCCCCGGAATGAGTCCTAAAACCTGGGATTAAGTTAGCATTTAAGCACTCCTGGTTCCCTCATCCCAAAGTCAATGGTTTTTTGGTTCGGTGGTGTAGTTTGTTTGTAGCCTAAAGTTAGCATTTTACCTCTGGCGATTACATTTAGGTTTCAAAAATCATTTAATCAGTGTTTGTGAAGATTATCTTGCTGAACAAAATGTGCAAGTATCATAAACGTTTGCTCACCACACAGCTTATTTTCTTTCAGTTTGTATGAGTTAATTATAACATTTTTGTCACCCAAAATACATCATATACAGCATTTAGATGTAAGAGACTGTCTAAGGATTCGGATGTTCTGTTTTTCTGGTATGTACATTTAGTTTTAATGGTTTTTAAGCCTGTTTTTTGCTAGCGAAAATTAGCATTAGCTTCAGAATGATCATTATTAAACATGGCTGTAAATGCACTGTGCTAATCAAGCTAGCAGCTAGCGTTAAGGTTAGCTCCACCCTCTTGTCCAAATATGGTCACTTCTGGCTCCAAAAATCCATGATGGCAAAGGCCAAAATGCCAAACTCAAGCAAAAAACCAATGGGTGACATCACAGTAGCTATATCCATTATTTCCACTGGCTAGCTCATCGCTGCCACTTTGCACTGTACTCATACAATGGGTATCACTGATATTGAGACAGCGTCGACGCGGAAGTGTAGCACCCACCCTCTGCTTCCCCCCCGGTTAACACAGTTAGCTATGTCAGCACTGTTGCTGTTTATAGAGCTGTTTCAGTTACCTCCATGTTAATAACTGGAACCAGACAACTCATACACCCTAACTTTCACATAGAGTCCCTTCAAATAGAATGTCATATTGCTGCGTTGACAAGAGTCTACAGCCATGCTAGCTGCTCTGTGAGACAGTAGGCACAGCAATGCTTTGTGTTAAATGCTAACATGCTCACAATGTAAATGTTCACACATTGATTTTTTGCATGCTCAACATTTTGTTGACCTTGTTAGCAAGCTAACATTTGCTAATGGGCACAAAACACAGTGGAGCTGAGGCTGATGTCACTTTTGCAGATTTTTGATCATAAATTTAAGTCCTGATGATGGTGCTGGATGGTGCTGCTCAGTAGCACATGAGGCCAAATTACCCAGATGATCAGCACTACTTCCACATCATTGAACCCATACAGTATTACTGGTTGTTGACTGTCTCAAGAGTCAGAACAAAACCTCCCAGATGATGTTAGATAAGCCCCAACTCTGACCACTTTTAACTCAAGAACCATTCCTATTTTACACTGCCTGCTCCACCCTGTAACAACTGCACCCTTTTTTGTAAACTATATTTTAAATCATTTTAAATAATCTTGTTATCTTTGGACCACTTGTATGCACTTGTGATATTTTTAATTTGATTCATTTTTAACTGTAATTGTAATATTTTATTTCTCTGTAGAGCACTCTGAATTGCCCTTGTGAGGCTGAGCAGCCAACTTCCAGTTTAGCATTCCGCTAACTTAAGTGGGGATAAAATGATTTAATCTTGCAGCTCTTCCAGACTTTCCAGATGTTATCAGACTGAATGGATTAAATCTTGACAGTGAAATGAGTCATTTTGTGACGCTCAAAAAAATGTATCCTCTGTAATCTCACGTAAGTCATTGGAAAAAAAGTCTACTTCCTGAAGGCCTGCGACCGACAGATCAACATCACCACACATGGAGCCACTCTATTAGCATGACTAAAAAAAATAATAAATATTTCACAATTTCATTGTAATATCGCATTAATGTCTGCATATATTTACATGATTATTTATTTCATGATGTTTTTACAAGTTATTATACTTTAAACACACAGTTCAAAGTTCAAAGTATAAAGCAGGGCTCTTCAGCAGTGACACAATATTGCATCAGGCTTTACCGAGGAACACATACAGAGAAAAAAAAATACAGTTACATGACACAGTCACAGCAGGTGCTGAAGATTCTCTGATAACAGGTTTCCACTCTTGGATCCAGATCCAACAAACTGTTAAAGTCTCCTTCTCTGTATGATTCAGATGAGATAAAAGCTGGTCGATGGGTTACAGGAGCTGACTGAGTGATTGTGTGTATAACAGCCAGGACCAAACCCAAAAACGAAGCAAAACAATCCTCACCACATTTTCAACTGAAGCAGTAAAACTGGCTCTAATTCAAACAGAGACAGTGGTCAAGACAAGCGAAACAAAAAGACAAAACAAATGTAGCTGCAGGCCGTGGGCGTTTTCCTGAAGCTTGAGAAGGAGCAATCAGTTCTAACTGTTTGCTGTAATGAATGATTGTAATTTAGAATCACATTATGTAAAAATAAACAGGCAGATCATGCAAATAAATGACAAAGGCAGTTTCTGTTCTTTTTTTAAATCTGTGGTTGTTTTTTTTTCTGCAGCAGGAAAAAGCCCTGGCAGCCACTTTGTTTTGTCTCTTCCTCTCGAGTCGTGCACAGATAAGCCTTCACACAGCAGCTGTTGCTCCAGTGTTGGCAGTGAAAGTGTGTGCCATCGGGGTCGATCACTGCACGTGTCTCCTGTCACCTTTTCTTCTTAGTGTTCAAGTGCATGGTGAGATAGTGAGTCCCAGGTTCCCATCTCTTCCTCCCTCTTCTCTTCCCTCTCCTCCCATTACGCCGCTGCCTCATACTGGGTGAACAAACTGGTACACCAGTCTCTGAGACACGTCAGGCTTGCGGATGATGCCCTTCTTGTAGTACTGACGTATGGAGCGGCTCAGCTTGTCATAGTTCATGGCAGGTCGGTTCTTTCTGAGTCCCCACAGTCTCGCAACGTGAGCCGAGTCTTCGATTTTGAAAATACCTGGTGGGAATCACAAGAGATTTTATATCTATCACAAAATAAACATAACAGTTGATGGCAGTGGTCTGTGCAGACATAATATGCATCTCGACATGTGGACAGAGAATTCTTTTCACTGTGTCATTGTCACCATATATTACTATATATTAACATATATTACTGATTTGTTCCATTTCACCACCATTTAAATATCTTTGTCATCTCCTACTGTCGTGTCTCGCTTGAACTACGCTACACCTCTAAAATCACCAGTGGTACTACTTCGTATTGTCATCGTCCTTCGTTTCGGTAAGCTATCAGAAATCATACACACACACACACACACACACACACAATACAGACAAAATTAATGCAGAGTACGGACAGAAGGCTCCGTCTGTTTTCGTCTCTGTGTCTAACTTTAAGCATAAATGAGCCCTAAGAAATGAATCAGTTGATATGTCAGTCTACGTTTAATAAGTAAAAGCAGATTAAGTGTTGGAGTGTAAGTGGTTGAAGATATTTCAGATGAAGTGTGAGCCCTGAAAATACTTGAACTGAAATTGAAATGAAGAGTCAGATGAAGCCCTGAAAGGCTTTGAGGTAAGGATACATGATAATATCGGTACGTCAATGTAGGCTGAGCAAGCGCCAAAAGCAGTTGAAATACAAAAGTACATCTATCTGTCTGTCTGTCTGTCTGTCTGTCTGTCTATCTGTCTGTCTATCTATCTATCTATCTATCTATCTATCTAACTAACTAACTAACTAACTAACTAATAAAGCAAGAAGACTCCCAATGTGATGCTCCACAGTACTTCTGGATGTCTTCAAACAGTCAGGATTAACGTGCAAGTCAACACAGCAAAAAAAGGGAGGATACCTTTCTCTTTATTGAGCCAGCGGATGCAGCGTCCGTAGTTGTGAGGTTTAAGCAGGAGTTCTCTGAGAAATTGCCACAGATGAATGGGCTGACCAGAACAAGATGAGTCTGCCTCGGACCAAAGATCCTCACCTCCTAAAGAACAAAAAACAAAAAAAAAAACAAACAAACAAAAAAAAACATTAAAGGCCAAAATGTAGTGACTTACAAATATAAACACACATTCCCAGAGGCCTTAAAGGTCCTTAAGGTTTCAAACCTGACCAGGAGATGCGTGGCAGCCTAGTACATTTCTGCAAACCATGGATATGTTACATTTGTACATTTCATACACATGACGTACTTCAGATTACATGTATGTGAGCTGAGTTATGATAAGGAGGAGGGGATTGTGGATGGTGTGACACCTCGGCGAGACGAGAGCAGCAGACCACTGTTCAAAACCAATAAAAGAGACTTCAGGACATGTCCAGCCATGCTGTGGCGACCAAACTGGGTGTTTTAAGCCCAAACATGTTTTCCTAATCTTAACCATGTGATTTTTGTGCCTAAACTTAACCACATGTTAAGTTTCAACATATCTGCTTTGTATGAAATGTACAAATGTAACATGCCCATGGATTTGAGAACATACAATGCCAACATTACTTTGGTGACTGGGTTGTACACAAAGTAGGTGCTTTGCTGGCATAAAATCCAAATTATTGTACTCAGTAAAAATGTGCGGTGGTCTATCCATTTTCTAATTCACAATAAAAAGAAACTGATTCACATAAGACTTTTTTTCCTGTACAATGAATGTAAATAAAGTGCCAGAGAGCCTAAAACAGCATCGAAATACAGCTTGTTTATAAAAGAAAATAACAGGAAAGGATCCCCTGGACTCCATGACAGAGGTCTGGGATAGTTATTTATATATTTATCATTAATGTTTGTTTATTAACTGGCCTGTAGCCTGTCATTTTGCAGAAGTAGCCACCGGGAATAGCAAGTTGAGCATACCTGCATTACTGTTTATTACTGTCTTTGAGAAGCAGGTGTGTGAGGAAACCAAACTTACCGGTCGTTTTTGTATCTCCAACTGAACATCTCTCTTTCATCCAAGCAGCTGGAGAGAGAAGAGAGACAGATATTTGATTATAAAAACTTTAAATTAATTTAATGCATGTCTTTGTACAGATTGTAAAGCCCTATGCGGCAAATTTGTGATTTAAAAAAAACCCAAATAAAATAAAGAAAACTGACTGTTTCCATCCACTCATACTGTACATAAACACACTAAGACACACTTAAAATGTAAATTTAGTTTTTAAATAAATACCAAACATGCACACACCTGACTTCCAAATGTCCAAGTGCGCGTGCAGTGTGTCTCCACTTTGCGGTGAGCGCTGTCGAAACTCCTCCTCGCTCATAGCACACAGGTCCTTTCCTGTCAGGTCCTGGAAGGCCTTTCCTGCGTGGGGCAACCTGTACAGATGTTCAGTCCACAGCAGCCACTTCTGGACGTTCCCTGTGTTCCATTCTATGGGGTCTGTGAAAACAAATGGGAAAACCGGTGAGAAATCTCCCAGATGTCACTGCAATAAATGACCCGGTTTGGGGTTATTTGTCTAAGTCATATTGAGTCAAATTAAGTCAGTTAAATTCCCATTATTTTTCTGTGTATTATGTTCTGCTACATTTACACATAATACCTTTACTGAAACCACAAGGTAATCACAATTTTATGCTACTAAAATTCTAATCAGCAGAACAGATGCCTGGGGATTGGATAGCTTTATGACAGCCAGAAGCCGTACAATACATAATTCTTCCTCTGTTTGCTTGGAGAGACCTCGCCCTTAAGACTGTGTACACTGTCTACTGGCAGGAGAGAAACATCATGCACTGTCACAATCCAGGAGAACTCATGCAAAGGTCAGGATTAAACAGATCCTGGAGCAGGCAAACACGGCTGTGCGTCAGTCAGGATATGATTTAGTAGATCTGTCATCTTGTCTCGGCTGTCCACACAAATATGTGTTGATTTTGGGGGCAAGATCCAGTAGCTTAAGTTAAATCAATATCCCTTTACTTGTAAGTAACGGGCAACACTTTGGGATCTTTTATTGTCATGAAAAATGTCCTGTGTGCTTTAAAGATTTATTTCTTTGTCTGTTATACGTCTTATCGCTGTAGATGACAAACAGCACTAGCAGGTGTGGTGCAGGCGGCCTACCTGGAGTGATGTTGAGCAGTTTGCAGGCCGTTTCAATGTCCTTCAGCACTTCTCCCACCACCATGCTCTGCACCTGCTCCAGAGACCGCTCCTCCTCCTGCCCCTCCAGCCCAGGAGAGAGTCCCTGTTCCTGGCTGTCGATGACGGGGCATTGCTCCGGTTCCTCCTGGGGCCCCATGCGAGTCATGGGTACAGCCAGTGTTGGGGAGGCCTCTGAGACTTTCACCAGCCAGGTGGCTTCTTCAGTGAGGAGCATGTCGAAACAGGACAGGTAGAGGCCTGGCACACCACGCTCCAGGGCCTCCACGTTTGGTTTGGTTTCAACCAGGTCCCAGGGTTCTCCGGAGCCTCTGTTTCGCTCCAGGACGGCGAGGGAGTCCTCTGTCATCCCGATTCGGGATCCGTACACTGTGCCTTCTGATAAACTGCCCACTGGGTTTGACATAACTGGTACCTGGAGACAAGGGAGACACAAACTTTAGACTTCCACATGACTGTAGAAATCAAACAGTACATACAATAGCACACAGTAACAACATGCAATGACAGACAACAGTACACACTCCTGTTCAATGAGGCCTATTGTTTGAGGTGGCTATGACTGCAGGGATCAGGCTTTTACAATGCAAGCCCTTCTGCACCTCAGTGCTCTGTACCTGCACCCCGAGGGCAGTGGGGTAAGGTGAAGAAAAGCCACATTAAACTCTGCATCTCTAACCTGTTCCTTGCACATGAACAGAGAGACTTGTAACGTATCCTTTCAGCATTGCAAAATGTTTGTTAGAAAAGTGTCTTCATGTCTGATTTTTCTGAAAAGTGTAAAATCAGAAAGAATCAACAGATCTGCCTGCAATTTCAAACACGAGAGAAGATGGTTTGAGAGAGTTGATACATAATTTAAATCAGCAGTCGACAAGAGTTCATAAACAACAATCCGTTCTGCAACATTCAAGCAGTTCACTATCACTTCGATTAAAATAATTTCATGCCTCAAGCCAAAAAGAAAATACCTTCTTCAACAGTTCTTCTGCTGCGTTTCTCTGGTTGCTAAACCAGCAATTGTTTCTGTCTGGTAATAAACTCCATCAGAGCAGCTGCAGACGAGAGTCCCTTTTCGAAATGTGTTTTGAACTGAACTGAGGTGAGACTGCGCCGGTCGGTGCTCTATAAGAACCTGGGGCCTAATGGAGATACTGGGGAAATGACCCTCAAGAGCGTTAAAACACACACAGCGCTGACAGGCATGGGGCAAAATGGATTTGACTGAGTCTCTTATTTGTGGGTCAGTGGCCCAGAATGGCTCAAGTGTTGGGGGTAGCTGACTTGTATTGAGACCTGAAGCAGCTCCGCCGCCTTCCTCGGCTTTCAAGGTGCCGTCTCTGCAGCCCTCTGTCTCCACTGTCAGCTGGAGTTTTTAATCAAGTTAGATAATGTGGAGAAGGCGTCCTCCAAACCATGTTTAAACGAAAAAAAAAGATGACTGTTTTATGAAGACTCGACTGATAGCTGTTTCTTCTTAAGAGGAAATTGCCATCGTAATTGTTCATTTATGGACGTCAGCTGGAGCACAAGTGTTGTAATCTCAGGGTGAACTCGCATATGGCACCCATAATGTGTACCTGCCACAGCTGGTATATGGGAAGGCACACTGCTGTCACCCACTAGGTTATCAGTGGCTGTGGCTGATGCCACCGTAAAGGAAGTGTGCTCCCACAGAGCACATGTTCAAGGAGAGTCATGGCTTTATTTGTCAAGACACAAAGAAATTAAAAGTCTCGTAAAAATTGCAAAATGATGGACTGCACCCATACGCCCAAATCATCAGGGAAGGCAGTTTAAAATGAATCCAGGTGACAGTAAACTTTTCTCTGTAGAAAAGAAGAGGTTCTTTAGATGCAAAAATAATTAATTTAATCAATGTGCAAGGGGTTAAAAAAAGTAAAAACTTGTGACAATTCATTTCATTTCATTTATTCCTTTTGACCCCTCCCCGGGGTATAAGGGGCAGACAACAAAAAATAACATTAACAAATCAGGACAGGCGGCAGCCAATGCACAGCAAAATAAATAAAACAGAATTTGTGTACATACATACAGGTCAAAGCAAATCAAGAGAAACTATTCAAGATTTTCTTTAAAAGTTTCAACAAATTTGACAAGACCTTTACTTTTCGAGATGACATTAACTTTTGAAACTTATAAATATTTGGATTTGCTCTATAGAACTGTCCAACCAACTCTCTTCTCTCTTTATCAAAAAAAGAACACACAAGTACATAATGATATTCGTCTCCTCGATTGCCAGTCAAACAAAGAGTACATTTCCGGGGGACATTTTCATGATCATACCTGCGCTCAGAGATAGGTAACTTAGACAAACAAACTCTTTCGGCAGGTCTTAACATAATCAGATAAGGTTCAAAAGTGAAATCAGTTTTAAACAATTTATAACTATCACATAAAGGGTTACTTTGTAATTTCTCATGCCATCTCTGTAGTTCCATATCAGATAATCTATGTTCAATCATTAATTTTAAATATTTAGGGTTCATCCGTCCAGCGTCATGCCATAAGTACGATAAACCACAATCATCAAGAATATTTTTAACTTTGGAAATCCATTTACAGTGAAAAATACTGTCATCATACAAAGTCTTGAAAACAATAAACACAGTCAAAGAGATTTTTGCTGTATTATGACTAATTAAATGTACCCAAAAGTTAATCATTCTCATGTTTACCTTTAAATCTAAACTATTTCGACCAAACTCTCCATAAATAATACAATTTGCTGTGCGTTACAATAAAGTGAATGTTTCAGTCAGAGATCCATCATTGGCATAACACAACCAAAATGCAATCCAATCGCCAAACATTTTTTTAACATTGTATGTTTCAAAGCATAACTACGTTAAATTTGCATGTTACTGTGTAGCAGATATATGGAAATTTTATGTTTCAACTGTGGTTAATTTGAGGTTCAGTTTAGGCACAAAAAACACTTGGTTATGGTTAGAAAAAGACCATGTATTAAAATACCCACTTTGTGCACAATCCCGGCGGGAAAATCAGCGATGTCTCAGCAAAACACAACAGCTTTTTGTGCCTAAAAAGCTGCTGGAAACACAGCAATGACTCAGTAAATCACAACTGATTTTGTTGTTTGTCGGTCTTGAACAGTGGTCTATGGCTTGGCAGGTGTCTTGCCATCCACCAACCCCTCCAACTCCCATTGACAGTCATTTTATAAACTACGTCGCTATGTATGAAAAAATCTCAGCACACCTAAGCAACAGGTGCGTAGGAGGAAGGCGCACCCCAAAGTATGCAAAAATTAAAAAAGGCTCCCGCACTGTCTCACTCTCTATTTTCTTTCAAGTCTTGAAATGCCTGATGAAGGTCGATCAGACCGCAACGTTGCCTAAATAAAAAGAAAATAGAGAGCGACACAGTGTGCGGGAGCCTGTAGAAACACTGATGTGATTAATATGAAAAGTGAAAATGTAACATATTTGTGGTTTGCAGAGACGTATGATGCCAACTTCTTCTTCTTTTATTGTCAGTTGTTTACAGATTTCAACTGCACACGCCTTACACTACTTCTTGAAAAGCCTGGTTTCAAGAGTGCAAACCTTTTCATAGAGCTGATCTCAAAACTTTCAAGATTCTATTACTTTTCTCATAGATACATTTAACAAACTTTTTCAAAGTCAAATAGAGTTATCTTCCCCGACCCTAAAAAAGATTACCCTCTCAGACTTTGGTCCTCAACCCCCCACTGTAAAACCTCCCCCCAAGTCTTCCTTTTATCTTCAAATTTCTCGTAAACTATAACCCACACTCCTTTTCTCTCCATCAGGAGTCAGATTAAAAGCCACTGGTATCCCGGCCTGGGCTGCTTCGTGTCAACTCTGCTCTGCAACAGCTTGCGCTAAGCCCATTAGCAAAGCAAATTTAGCCATATTACCTTCTTCCAAAAGGAAGAGGGGGCACAAGAAAAAGACACAAACACACACTCCTGTGGAGAGGGATTAAGACCCTGACTGATCTCTAAATGAGTTTGGTCAAGACGCTGATATTCATTTCAGGAGCATTAGAGGCTGCTCCATTTACTCAGCAAAGTCAGCCTTTGACACCGACAGAGAGGACTCTCTGCGTGCAGGCGTCCACCCTGGGAACCATATTCCTTCCACATGCTTGGTTTCATTAACGTAAAGAGGGTGATTATTTTAGGTGAGGTTGGTAACATCAGCTAGGGTTTTATATGATTGGATATGATTGCAAAAAGAAAAAACTGATGCAAGCGTGATCTTGTTAGATTTTTCAGTGGGAAAAAAAAGAGAGAAAAAGAAGTCACATAAGGACTTTGATGAACATAATAATGGCCATTTTGACAAATCAAGGATCAACTGGGATCCACATATTGTTCATTTAAATCAGTTAGTCTCCAGGAGCTGTTCACATTTAATCTACAGCCTCCTTTACGTGGGAATTGACAGGAAAAATGCACTTAAATTAAGTTAAAGTGATTATGCTCCCAAAATTTCCTCACTTACAACTCTCTCTTGAAGGGAAAGTGGTTAAACGTTGCAGACCAATGGAACCAATCTAGCTTGAAATTAACCTGTTGGCCCATTTATCACTGTTGATGAAACAGTTTTGTGACATTAGTCGGCTGAAGTGTTTAGATTTAAGTTAATGAGTAGTGATTCAAACAAGGAAAAGTCGACGGCTCTTCCAAAAAGGGGTTTGACCTGGATGGATTTGATCAAAGCTACAAAAAAAGAAGAAAAGGTTGTGAAACATTTGAGATCATCTATGTAATAGTGAACAAAATGTTCATCTGCTCGGCTCACCCCTAAAAAAAAAAAAAGGTCTGTGTTGTTTGAGTGTGGAGTTAAAGGAGTGTGTACAGCCAGGCGTGACTGTTTGCCATGTGAGCGTTAAAGGGAGACTTTTTTTTCTCCCCTTGTTATTGTTTCTCATGGGAAACTTGGACCGACGAAGGAAGTCATTGTTCTGAGAACAAGGAAAAATATCTTTCCAATATAGTACTGCTGGTAAGAAAGTGTGCAGGCTGGAGGAAGTGATTTGGATCTGTGGATTACTGCCCGAGTCCCCTTTTTATGGCAACAGTGACAAGTGCAGGTGCTCCGTTCACTTTATAGATTTGTTTAAGGTGTCCCAGTCGTCTATTTCTAGATGGACAATTTAAAGTCTGTTTCTTATTTTATGATGTGCAAATAAAGGCAGATTTTTTTATTACTATTTACAATATTTTTTGTTTTTTATACTCTTCATTTTTTCTATCTCTATGTGGGTTGCATTAACTGCAGATGGGGGAAGTGATTCATTTCTTCTGTTAGTCAGGTGCACTTGGCATTTGGCCAGTATCCTAGGAAACACTACACCACTGCAAATGCTTTGCTGTTGGTCCAAGTTAATTTCGACAGAAGGCTGCATTTACAGTTGGTGATGCAGATGATAAACTTCATATGACTGAGACTGGACCTGCAGATTTGAATGCGTAGCACGGACAGATGGAGAAATAAACCTGTTTTTGCAGAATAGTGAAGATACGGAGAGGCCTCGCTGCGAGGCCTAAGGCATGAGCTCGTGCAGCTGGATTTAATGTCAGAGGATCCTAAAGAGCAGGTTTTCTTTAGTAGCAGTTGTAAAAGTTACACAAAAAATGCTACCATTTAAAACTTTGTTATAGCCAACAGCAATGTGACGGTGTAGATGGATGGGACAGACAATGTTCACTGCTTCATGTCAGGCCTTATGAGCTTGTAGTGCACACTATTGTTTGTACATTTTCAATTTGGGCATAAAAAACCTTTGAGGAGATGAAAAAAAATATCGGAGAAAAAAATTGTATTAGGAGAAAAAGTTAGTGAATAAAAAACCCCAAAATGTTACAATGGAAACACACCACAGACTTAAACATCTAGAGATTAAAAATACAGGTCTAGAGACTTAACATTTTTCAAATGAATGCACGAAACAAATTTAAATGTCGTATTTCCGTCACAGTTTCCACATCATTTTTGTTTGAGGTACCAATAGCACTTGTCTAATAGTGGTGTAGGGATGATGGGGTTTTTTTTGTAGGTCGACCTGCAAGTTAACATCGCCCTGGTTCCCTCTGACAAAAAGCCAATGGGATTTTTCCATTGAATTTTGGATTACTGCAGGAAATGCAGAAAAAACTCTGTGGCCAACAAAAGTTTATGATACTTACAAGTTTTGTTCAGCAACATTATCTCCACAGGTGAACACCACTTAAAGGATTTTTTAGGCCTAAATGCAATCACCATAAATAAAAAGCTAATGTCAGACTATAAACAAACTACACAACATGACTAAACATCCCTTCCACAGCAAGGCTGTAAAGCCGCTTTCAAGACACATAAAAGCTTCAAAATTTACAAGTGGAATATTTACTGATGAACAAATGCACACCACTTTTATCAATTTTGAAGCTTTAATGCTATGGCCAGAAGTAAAAAGCTAACGTGAGGTTCTGACCGCCACAATGAGGCTGTATAGCCATGTTGGGCGTGATGATGCTCTGTAGTCTCAATTAGTCACTTGCTAGCAACTGTCTTTTTAAGACACGTAAAACCTTCAAGATTCACAAGTGGGTAATTTAATGGATTTTACGTTGTAGAACAAAATGAAAATCTTGTTTAAAGCTTTTGTTTTACCACAGACCTTATAACCAAGAGCCCATTCAAAAATCCCACTAACATCGAGACGAGGGAACCAGGAGTGCTAAAATGCGTTTCAGGTCTCATTCCTGTACCACTCTACTAAAGCATCTCATTGTTCCCTCTTCTTCTGCAGAATTAGCGCCCCCAACTGTTTATCGCAATGTGCTAAACTACTATTTGTATAACACCAGTACAACAAACAGACATTAATTTGCATTTGTCGTTTGCAGATTTTTGAAAGTTGTTTAAAATTTGCAAGAAACTTGACGACTGACTAAAGCGACAAATGTCAGACAACAAAGTTACGAAACTGTGCAGAGGTGAGAATGGAGCTTTCCTTTTTCTTTTTTTCTTTTTTTTTAAGATTATTTTTTGGGGCTTTTTGCCTTTACTGGGTAGGACAGAGAAGTGTGAAAGGGGGAGAGAGAGGGGACTGACATGCAGCAAAGGGGGCAAGCCAGATTCAAACCAGAGTCACTGCAGCAAGGACTGAACCTTCGTACATGGGGCGCCTATTCTAACCACTAAGCCACCAACACCCCACCTTTTTCATTGTTAACTATTTCCATTGTTTTAAATGTGAACAACCATGTGCAACACTATAAGTGATTTACAGGAGAGACTGTACAAAACTATGCGTTGATCATGGGCTAAGATGGTATGGCAATCTTTATCTCATGATGATGAGAGGGTATTCTAAGGTTGGGTTTTTTTTGGAGGGAAGGGTCTTTTATGTTTTTCTTACCTTATGTCTATATCTATCTTCAGTCTTCCCTTGAGATTTATAAATTAAAAACAAAAACAAAAACATGAGTGTGAATGTGCACCCTGGATCATAAAGGTGTGTTCTGCCCTATTCAGTGGACAACAGTCACTATTGTTGTACTGTTTTTAGATGTTAGGGAGGAGGGTGTGGCAGGTTTTCTTTGCCATAAGTCAGGGGAGGGTCCATAAAAATATCTATCGCTAATGCTTTTTTAAAAAGTAAAGTGTTATCATACAAGACAGAGTCATGATGTAGTCACAATGAGCCTGACATGACAGATCTGAATCAGAGGGTAAAAACTGACCTTCAGAAATAAAAGAGCAGTTCTGTTATATCCGTTTGTAATTTATTGTTATTATAGTCTTGTCTCGGGGGAGCAACCGTTGTATTTAATTTCCTCCTTTTATTAAAATTATAAATAAATCCTCAGCTTATCGTTGTGGTTTTGGGCACCAAACCACCAACAATGCCCCAAGACACCCTTTATCTAACCACATTCAGTCTTTTATCTTCCTGTGTGAAAGTTAATTATACAGAAACAAGAAAAACAGGTAAGCATGACAAAGAACATGAATGATTAGGTAAATTAATACGATAACAGCTTTTCTGTCCTTATCAGGGGACTTGTGTTGTTTTTAATCTGGTGTTGTGAAGTCTGTTTTACACACTGTGGGCAATTAAGTTTCTAACTTTGTGAAATTTAATACTAACCAAAGCTCTGGGTATAAGTTAAATGATTTATATTACTCATAACTGAGTGTCAAAGCTTTAAGTCTGTTGAAGTTGACTGCCTAAAATCCCCTAGATATTGTTAATCCTGCGCCAGGTAAGTCGCGCAGAAGATTTTCTCTAAGAGACGAGATGATATCAACATCAGTGACAGACAGTAACTTGAAAAAATAGACAATAAGATTTCTTTGTTTTTCCAGTGTCACAAAATACTCCTCTGAAAATTAAAAGTAATGGTTTGAACAAGTAAATAAAACCTGCATTTTTTTGGACACACATCACATATTTAAAACATTGTGTAAGGCAGCGTCTTCTTACCAAGACAATGATGCTCTGATGGCCAGAGGCAAAGACTTCACTGGATGATAAAAGATGCAGCGCAGCTCTGGTTCTGTTGAAGGATGAAGGACGGCCTTTTGTCCCTGACGCAGACCAACGCTCAGCTCAGACGGGACGTGCGGGCAACGGGCACCCTTCACTATGTTTCCCCCCGTGATGAGTGTCACAGAGCCCCCAAACCCAGAGGCCTCAGACCCTCCCAGGCTCTTTGGTGGAATTACACTTAACCTGAAAGTCACAGCCTGGAGCACAACTGCAAACTACACTTGAAGTGAAAGCACCTGCTGGGGGTGTGTGCAAACTGCAAAGAAGCAAGGGCAAGTGACTCTGCGAGTGAGTGTGAAGGAATTCCAGCTCCATTGACTGCAGTTTATATTTATAGGGCAGTCGTGTTTACTTTGTGTGTGTGTGTGTGTGTGTGTGTGTGTGTGTGTGTGTGTGTGTCTGTGAAATGCCATGTGTCTTGCAGATTAGACTCAGACCTCTTCAAACACTACTAGTTGACCTCAGTACTTAGGTGACAGACAATTAAAAGTGATAAGAGATAAAAGAGTATACTTTGAAAAAGAAAAAAAAATGGAAAATTCACCTTAAACGTCTTTTATGCTCCAAGGCATTCCCAAAGTAAACTAGAAGCTGTTCTTGGTGCATTTTAATGACATGTGCATGCATGGTCTCAATTGAAAGGTCACACTATGAAGTTTTTCCCCACACGTCAGAATTACTGTAAGTGCATCTTTAATTGAGTTATATGCATTTTAACACACTGAGGTTGTTGTTTTTTTTTTTTTTTTATCTTTGCCTTCTTGAAAACAGGTGCTGCAGATGACTAGAACAGGGAGGTATTAGCTGGGAGACATAATGGGATCATAGCATAGAGCCTTGCCTAGTCCAAATTCAAAGTATAGATAATATTTCGGAAAATGAACATTTTACACATGTTTTTCTAAGGCTTTGTTCAAACGCTTTTCAAAAAATGAGGATGAAACAATGTACTGCATGTGTGATAATGAGTGAAAAACTAATCAACACAGACAGAACTGTTTTTGAGGAGCTTACTGTACTTAAAAATACTTCAAGAAAATCTACATTGATAAAAAAAAAGACCCCCCAAAGACAACATAGGAGCCATTTATTTATCAGTTGTATACGTTTATCACAGTCTTTGGTGCAAGGAAGGAGTTCAAACCTACTGTGGAGATCTGGAGTGTCATTAACTACAAGAAAAGGGTTGGAGATTTTCAGAGTACAATAATCATTTACAGTATATTTTTGGTTGAACAAACATTTTATTGCTATAATTAAAACTTTACCCTCAAAATAACTAAAATAAAATTGACATTCTCTGTCCAGTTGCATTTTTTTCCCCATATCAAATGTGCACGATAAAATAATTGTCACGGTATACCTTGAAAGCGGTATACCGCGCAACCCTATACAGGACACATAAGCAATTGGGCCAGTCACTGGCTACTGATTGGCTCTGAGACCAGGAAGTGTGAGGGATGCACGTCCCCTTAGCACAGGCCCTCACTGGCTATCAAGGCCATAGCAACAGCATTGGAAGCTACTATTAGCTAAAGTAAGGTGTCAATGAAAAGGCCAGGAGTTCGCTTCCATTTTGACGAGCAGTCGGCATGTTTACATGCAAACAGAAGAAATTATGGACAATAGGTGGAGAAATATGAATGTTTGAAACGATGTAACCACAGTGTGTGGATGTCTATGGATGTAATAATGTGTTAAGATTAAATATCTTATGGCTTCAGATCATCTAGACCTGTGGTAGCGTTTACATAATATTGATCTGTGGATTACAATACTGCTTCATAGGTGAGTTATAACTGTTTGTTTGCTGTTACTGAAAGAAGCATCTATTGAACCTGCTGTGTAGGGATGTCCCGATCCAGCTTTTTCACTTCCGATCCGATACCGATATTACAGTCTTGAGTTTTGGCCTAGGGCTGGGCGGTATGACCTAAAATTCATATCACGGTATAAATCGAATCCCTTCACGGTAACAGTATATATCGCGGTATAAATTTAAGTGTAAAAGTTATAATAGAAGTGTTTCTGAATGGGTTTTGTAGTCCCTTAGCAAAGCTAAATTGATAAAAAAAAAACAACAAAAGCAAAGATATAATGTATTTTTTAGAGCATTTATTGTGCAGAATGCAGATCTCAAAACTCAAAATTAAAACCCAGTACTCTATGGTGCAAAATGTCCCCTGGGATCTATATCAAAAGGTAATTTCCTTCTTTTAGCAACATCCTAAATGACTGAGTTGTGTTTTTTTCCACGTGGACCTTTATGCTCTGCCATTTCTCCTCTAATCATCACGCTGTAACCTGTGACAGGCTGCAATGATACCACAACTATCACACATTCACATATGGAGTTTTTTGTGGAGCCCCTAGCGTCACATAGGTTTACATTACCAAAGGTTTATGACAAACTCTCTTGCCGAAAACCAACTCCCGTGTGCGCACGGCGAGAGAGGAGAGGGAGAGACGCTGTGCTGCTGCCAGAGGAGACACTGAATGAGTTCCCTCTGAGCGGTAAGTCGCTAAAAGAGTCTGAGAAGTCCGGGGCTGTTCATAAAACATTAACTCACTCACTCACAAGTTCTCCAGCAACACATGTTGCACATGCTACGCTAAATCACGGACATGAACCAGCCTGTCTTGCTCCGCTGTCTCTGTGCTCGCAGCCATTTTCACACTGAGGCAGGTGCGATGACGTCATCGACGATAGGATGGTAGAGCGCAAATCTCTACCGTGGGCCAAATTTATATCATTTCTACCGTCTATCGCATATACCGTGCAGCCCTATTTTGGCCTATACTGATACCAATCCGATCCAAGCGCGTATTATACATATTCACTTATTTTGTTGTCAGTCATGTTAGAAAAGGTTTGATCAAGCGATATTACTCTAACAAGAACAACTACTTAATCGGGTTAGGTAGAATGATCCACAACAGTTGGTATGAGAAACTGACCTGTTTATTGTTAACAGGGTTAAATAAACAAACTCTAAACTTGAACATTAACATTAAATAAAAAATACAGCTGGTTTGCTTTGGCTGCTTTGGCCCCTTAATAAATAGAAAATAAATCAACACAAGAAATCTTTAAAATGTCTAACACTGAAATTAAAATAGCAGCAAGACTCCACACACTTGTGCTTTGCTCCCCTAATAAATAAAAAATAGATTAACACCACAAGACATTGTTGACATTTAACAAACAATGCAGCCTTTCCTTTTCAGTCAGTTTTTGTAGTGTCAGTACCAGCCTGGTGCTGCTGTTTCCTGTTTGTCTGCATGCTGGCCTGGTGGATTGATAGTAAGTGCTGGAGCGGATCACTGGAATGGACTGCTTGAATCGCGGAGCGCTGGGCTGGCCGGAAAACCTAGATCGGACATCATGAAAAACTGGATCGGAGTTCTTGGATCGTCATTTTTTCATGCACTCCGATCCGATCCGATGCCCGTTTTTTGCTAATATCGGCGGCCGATACTGATCCGAATATCGGATCGGGACATCCCTACTGCTGTGGTAGTTGTATCTTAAAATGATCCACATCAGTCAAACTGCAAGGAGCATAGCTTTTGAACGATAGGTTATGTAAGTAAACCATTTAAATACTACAGCTGTTTACACATCATAAATCATCAAATAAAACCTTACCAGGGCCCACGGACGGGCCGTCAGATTTTTAATACCAAGTACTGTACTTAATTCCAAATTTAAGGTACTGTGCTTTAATTCAACAACATTTCAGAGGGAAATATTGTACTTTTTGAGAGATAACACTAGAGGAAAGTCAAAAACACAAATTTGTGAAACAGAACTTTTATTCCTTCCCATTAATCATCTCAATACCACTCAGACTTATATGGCGGCCCTCTGGAAGGGCGCAACCCCTAGGTTGGAAACCACATTAATGCGTCAGTATTAAAAATCTAATAATGTCATACATAATCATTATTGGCAAGTTTATCTTTGAAATTTACAATTTACCCTTTTAAAAATGTAATAAGTGATGTAATTATTTCAATCACATGTAATATCATTCACGGGAGCTGTTTTTCTACAAAACAAGTACTTTTACTTTTTACTGTAAGAACACTTTGCTGACAATGCTTTGCACTGTTACTGAAGTAGGATGACTCACGTTTTCTCTACTGGAAGGACACCCTAGAGCAGTGTTTCTGAAGTAGAGTGCCGTGATGCCAATCCAGGTGTGCCGTGAGATTTTGTAATAACTACACAATATTGTTGCAAAATTCAATCATGCCTATACAAAGTTATGAATGAATTTTTGGTGACTGTATCAGTATGTTGTGTGAACCCATTTCCTAATAAAGAGGCGAACTCTTAGTACCTTATTTGTTGCCGTTCGTGTGTAGGAATTATAAGTGTGTGATACATCAAAAGCCCTGATTGGCAGCAAGTGTGAAGGATGATATCATTTAAAAGGAGAAAGCTGTGAATGTGACAATGGATCCCTTTATTGTATGGAGAAAATCACAACAAAGCACCAGCAAAGACAACCTACCACCAAAAGAAAAGAAATAAAAAACAGTAGACAGTATCAAGAAAGCTATCTGCCTTATTTTTTCTTATTTTATTGTCTTATGTCGTGATAACACACGTTATAGAAGCTATTGTGCACAGATATAAATACAGGTGTACCTTCAGATTTTGACTTGCCGTTTGGTGTGCCTTGGGCACAAAAAGTTTGAGAACCACTGTCCTAGAGAGCACTGCATCATGTTTTCTTGCACATTGGTCCACTGTAGAAGATTCTTTATCATGTTTTATCTACCATCAGGGCATCCAAGAGGGCATTTGAAGAGGTGTTTTAATTGAATCTCTGACTATTCCCTTTCTGGCCTATTTTTGTTGCACTTTTTAAAAATCATTTTTATTTGTACGTTACATTCTCTCATAATTACCAGCAAATTTACCAGCTTCATACGTTTTTAATTTAACCTTTAATAAGTAAAATAAATTTCACCAGGATGATCCACTCAGTATCAATACTGCTTTCTAAGGAGTCCTGCAGGTCCTAAGTCCTGAGCTGAAGTCTAATCAGTGAGAAGGAGTAAAAACACCTGTGTGGGTGTGCCAGGCTTTTAATAATGTGGCTGATGGAGGTGGAGATATTTTGGACTGTTTGTTAAACTGCTAGGTAGTACTTGACAATGCATCTTTTGTCATTATGTCAGAGTAAAAAGTACTAAATCCCCTCTTAAATGCAGGGAGATTAAGAGTAAAGTAGGATAAAGTAATAGACAAATTTGTACTTGAATATATCACAGC